CAAATTGTACTTTTTAAAAGACTAAGAGGAGAAATTAAAATGATTAATATCAGAGGATTTAAATATATGAATTCTATAGGCTTCAGGTGAATCTGGAAATATAAACAATCTTAAGATGTAAAAATGAAATAAAAGGTTTCCCGATTATATCAATGATCCTATCTTTCGTGATGATTACTAATAATATTAAATATTGTAAGACTGAACACTTTGCGATCTGTGTTTGTAGCAGTGTTCATGTATATTAAGCATCTTATCCCTACGCGATATAAAATCCATGTTTCTTGGGCTTAGGTACTGTATACACAAGTCCGAAGAAGATGTCATGTGGTAGAGGTAGAGGCAAGGGAGAATTAGGCAATATAAAAAAGTCTCCCCCAACAACCTTCGTAGAAAATGTGAGTCTCGTCAAGCCACGCCCCCCATAGGTACGTTGTTAGCACCTCGGGGTCATCAGTCTTTAAGGTTGATATACCCATCCGCTTCTGGGAGAGTTAGAAAAGGAGAAAGTAGAAGAATTATATAATACCTTTACGAATGTCAGAGGTAGCATTACTAAGCCGTCCAGCATGCCAAATCATGCCATTATTGTATTGAAATTCAGTACACATGACATTATACAGTAGCCTTGGTAGTAGTAATTGAGTTATTTCCACCTACTTCACGGGGACTGTCTGTAATGAACGGAAGGGTAATTCATACGGAGATCACGCACATATCATGCCATCCTTGTATTGAAATTCAGTACACGTGACATTACACAGTAGCCTTGGTAGTAATGATTATTTCCACCCACTTCCCACGGGGACTGTCTGTACAGAAGGGTAATTAATAGTAGTATAAACCTAGTCTAACTGTGCTGTACTTGAGCCGTGTGGTCCTGTTATGTTAGCACTACCCACACCTGGTCATATGTTAAGCGGTGCAGGGTCGAGTCCTTGTCTGAAAGAGGAGTTAGACAGTGGGAGTCATGAACCATGCTTGTGCTGAACGTGTGGAATATGCTTCGTAAACTTGGCTGATGTCTTGCACAATTCTGAAGCAGATAGCAACAAAAATATGAGTAAGAATATACATACCCGTATTTTATTTATCATTTTATTATTATCAATTATTATATATTATTATATAATGTATTATTATCAGTTTCTCTTCATTCTATTCATTTCTCGTCTGGAAAAAGATGAAATACTACTACAGTACTTACAACAAAAAAATAAAACTTAAGACCACTAACCCATTCCATCCAAGGCGTAGGTCCTGAACCCACTTTGTCTAAGGCGTTGGAGCAGAATTTCTTAACACTCAAAGGCTCCTGCTTTGTCTCCCTGTGTCACAGAGGGAGTGGCGACTTTCCGCTCAGTCTAGTGCAAGATCCGTTCCCTCTCTCCCGGTCTGGTACAAAGGCTATTCCTCTCTCACTGTCTGTCTGTACAAA